CCTTCTTACTCCTATTTATGATCTTGTTCTATTCTAGAAACAATGTCATTTGAGACTTGTGTTTTTCTTGTGAATCAATTGTAATGCTTTAGAGGCTTGTACACTTGACAATCAAATTTTGGGGGTGTTTTTGAGTTGATTATAAATTTCCGGATTTTATTGTAATTGTTGAGTTTTAGGCTGACTTGTCTTGGTGGGATAAGACGAGTGTCATCACGTCCATTTTTGGATCGTGACAAATATTTCATTTGCTAGTTAAATTATAAAAATACTACTAGTAAGCTTTTAGATGGGAATCCTTCTTAGAAAACAAGTTTATGTAAAAGAAAGTGAGCACCTATAACTTTCAAATCATAAATCCGCCACTGTATATTCATTAAAATTATCGAATAGCACCTTAAAATTGATAAAAGAAAAAAATCAATCGTGCTACGTTTGAACAAGTACAATATTAATTAGTATTATGACATTTAAAAAAAAATCAAAATATATCACAATTTTTAAGTATCATATCGAACCGACAAATTAAGTCACCAGCAATAATAAGGAACAGCTTCAAGGCTCAAATGGCATGATACATGTTTTATTATTTTTATTTTTATTTTTATTAATATTATTATTTTATAAATTCTTAATTAATTGTTTGAGACATTAATGCATGATGTAGTTAGTTGACTATCTTGAACCATAAACAATTTGTTCTTTTTAATCGATAAAGTTGTATTAAAATAGATAAGATTCATTTACGTTTAATCAAAGATTTTGATTATGAGCCCTGTAGCTGAATATGAAAAAGATTTGTTAGAAAATGTTTTCCTTGAATAGATCTTACGTGGTGCGAATTCAATTTAGTCGAAACTGTAATATGAAATATTAGAGAATTTTTTTTTCCTTAAAAGTAAAAACCTTTCTCTAACTTGATAGACTATCTACTTGATACAACAACAGGACATAAAAGAAGAAGACTTATTTAATTAATTAAAATAAATAAAACTTCTAAATGAAACATTAGTGACGTTCTGAGGCATGATTTTGGTTAGATAAACACTCAATAAAAATAATATTACAAAACATCGCATGATGACACTTTTATAAAAATATTTTTTAAGTTTTTCAACTTCAAAGATTATCGTAAGATGATTGTGATTCTTTTATTCTTTAACAGATTTTATATTATAGCTTTAAGAATGAATAACTTCATATAAAAAAGATAACTTCAGTTTATATGTATTTGATTTACATTTTCAAGTCTTTTTAGTTTCTTACAAATCGCGTTCAATTAAATATGATTACATAAACTGGGACAGAGGAATTATTATTTATGATTGTATGTATGAGACTATTATAATATTCAAAAAAAATAATCATGTATAATCATTTTGT